CTGCAACTCAGGCAAGGAGCCGCCTCAGCCAGCGGCCCGGGATGAGGCATGGAGTGCCAGTTTCCAGAAAGAGAGCTGTTTCAGGGTATTGCTATGTGGGTTGGGTTGGCTGTTGGAGTTAGAACGAAAACAAACCCTCAAAAACGCGTCCACGTTCTTTCATGAACCCAAGCCGGCGGCCGCTGAGTACGTACCCTCAAATGGCGGGTGCCCGTTCCATTTGTATGAGTGATGGGGCTTTGCTCAAACCCACTTTGCGGCGCCAGGATTGCCCGCTGGCATCCCTCCTCAAATTTGCGCAACATCACGTGCGACGTTTGTTGAAAAGTCTGGTCCCCGTCGCGGTTGCCCGCCGGAAAGGCGGCCCCCGTTGACAGCCCGTCCCATCTCTACCTGACACGCGCCCATCAGAGACCCCTTGGAAACTGGCACGGACCCCTCTAAAATAGATGCCCTCCAAAGTTTCAGCCAAAGATTCATGAGGCACTTTTGCCGATGCAAATAGCAACTGCTCACGGTGGAATTGTCTTCCTCTGCACCTTGGATCACACAAGCATGCGCTAAGAATTCCAAGCTTCAAGCCCTTCTTGGCATGTTGCCCTTGAATCTTGTCATCCAAACAGCCCTTGAGGAGGCCTCATGCAATCTTCCAGGAAACAACAGCCCCAAGACTTAATCATGGTTGCAGAAAATCTAGCGGGCAAAGGCAACCTCTTCCCCCCCCCACGTCCCTTTTCGTTTCGCCGGTCCCTTCCCCCTTGTGACGGGCCACTCGGCTGAGGTTCCCCAGCCGAACGATCCTCTGGTGAATGCCTCTCCATGCATGGCTGACAAGCGAGTCAATCTACTTTGCACCCTTTTCCCTAGTTGCAGCTTGGGGGTCAGTGAGGACCTTCTCCGGCCAACTGCTTGCCTTACATGCCCTTACAGCCTTCAAATCCGATCGCTTTGGCGGGGCTCTCACATATATTCTGCGTTTGTCCAGCCTCATCAGCCCACAAGAAGAGAACCACCCATTGGCCTTTCCCAAAGGCGCGACCCTTGAAACGCCGTCCAAACTGAAACGACATAAGCCCTCCCGTCACAGCCTCTCCGGCAGAAATGAAGGTGACAGGATTGAACCATCTCAGGGAAGCTTTGGGCTCAGCGCACCAGGCTGGAACGTCACCTGTGTTGCTTGCGTTCTTTTTTGCGCGTGCGTGTTTGTCAACACCATCGTAGGCTTTGTTTTGAAACCCCATCTCCCCAAACCAAATGCTAAACCTGGAGAAAGCGGAATTCAAACATCGCCTTTAAGCGTTCAATCAGAGCCCCTTGGAAGTGATCATGAAACGAAAAGTAGAAGGCTCCCCGCAAGATCCGACCCCACACGAACTTGAGCTGGTTTGAACAACAGAATAGGTGTGCCCCACAATATTGCTTGTCTAAATCTTTGGTGGTCAATGGAAGGCACCGGACATACAGTGGATTGGCAAACGCCTGCTGCTGTCAATCGGGGCCATCCATCCCGACTGATGGATTTTGATGGATCGGATGGATTTTGTCCACTGCGAAATTCCACGGGCCCGTCGCTCGCCTCTTCCTCCGCAGCTTGCGCTGCTTGCGCGACGGCGCCAGGGGCGAGGCGCTCCGCGATCTGGACGCACGCCTGTAGCTGGGGTCTGTTGGCCACCTTACAAGGGCCAGCTACGGAACAAACTGCAGCTGGCTGGCCAAATATTCCCCAAACAATATGCATGTATATATCCATATAATATGATTCCATGTGTGCATCTATATTACATATATTTATTTATTTTTGCTTGCGCTCTCTCCAGCCTTGCAGCCAAGGGTTAGTCCAGCGCGGACATATATTATGACATACTGATTTGGCTTACTTTCTGCTGAATTTCCGTCCGCTAGTTTCTCAAAGCAAGCCTGCCAACAGCATTCGGTTGGTGCCTGCCCTTTATGCTGACACACAGTTGGCACCCTTGCCTCATTGTCATATATTGGCATCGTCCCACAACATGAGTTGTGATTGGATGGGTTCCATCGCACGATGACAACCAGGGTAGTTCACTTCGCAAGTCCGCAAAAAAAAACTCGCTAGCCATATCTCGCTAATTTGCTCCCACCAAGAGGGGCTGACCACTAAAAAAAACACTGCGCAGGGCGCGGTGTATGAGTCGCCACACTCGGTCATTCGAGCCTTTGGATTGGCAGTCGGGGAGGCGTCACTGGATCGTCCTCGATTGGCATGAGCTGGGTCAACAACTCCTGAAATGGCCAGTCGATCGTCTGGCTGGGCAACGCCGGTAGTTGCCCGGAGGGAGGATGGGTGGGTGGTTGGAAGGGAGGGAGGGGGTGGGCGGGTGGGTGGGCGGGTGGCCGAAGCAATGAACAAACTCTATGACCTTCAGCAGGAACCGGCACGGAGATTTGGTTCCGCTATGGACACTGCAGCCCTGAAACAAACAACTGGGCGTAAGAACTCATTGGATTTGCGGTAGCTTTTAGGGTAATCTAGCTCGTCACTACGGTCCCTGTCACCTCGCAAAAGCCCCGGCACCTGCGACCATCACTCCACTGCCAATCTGACCCGCTTCCGCACGCCAAGCACTACCCAAGGAGAAACAGCTGAGCAGGCTCGCACTTTAACCTCGGGGTGAATTCGGACGACCAAATTTCTCTGTGAGGTCCCTAGAACTTCTCAACGGATCCTCAGCTTTTGCCCACCACTGCATTTGACTCTTTGGTCCAAATCTAGCGACACTTAAAATGCAAAAAACTACTGAACAAGCCCAAGTGATCACAAAAAACAGCCCTCTCCCAAAAAATCCGGAGGCCACACATGACACCTGCTCCAAACCACATAGCGGGAAAGCCCAAGAGATGCCAAACGCACAGCAGTCTCGATCTCTGAGTCCTGGGAGATGGGATCGTCCTTGCCTTCCGCATCCGCATCCTCGGCCACGGCGTCTGGCTCAGCGGGCGGCCGCAGCTCCTCAGCCAACTCGGAACTTCCACACCCCAACTGGAAAAAACGTGCCCCCTATACTTGTGAGGGCACGGTCGAAATTGCTTACTTGCGGCCGTTTCGCTACTTAGCTTGAGAGCCCCCTATTGCTTGCCATGGTTTTGTGCATGTCACAATGTGCATGAGACGGCAAATACTAAACTCAACAGAAGTTGATTTTGACGGTACTTCATGCATTTTGTTGGTACAAACAAAGGCAACGTACACGGGGTGGTTCTTATTGTGCGCGCCCCTGCCATGTTTTGCTTGAGGGTGGGGACTCCTGAGCACTGCCCACACTTGCAAATTGCGATGAATACAGCTTCCATTGTTCAAAGAATGGTTGCATATCCATGGGGGGTAGCGCTAGAAATTTCAATTCCTATGCCTTCCTTGTGCCCTCCCACGAGCCCTATCCCTGGACCCGTTGCATGTGCTGTGCGTCAACACCAGGCATCTGTTTGTGCCAACTGGTGAAAGGAACCAAATTCAAGCAACCACTGCAGAGTTTCGACACATGCCCACAATTCAACTCCCCTTCCCCGAAAAATTGGCCCCTGAGTTGTTGAAATGTCTGGACCACAAAAAGGCATTGCGAGAAAGGGGTCCGACGCCTTGGGCTGAGCCCCGCCTCCGGCAGAGCGAACTCGTGAGACCGGAACTCAGGGCAGTCAGCGACATCGTGGCACTTCTGGTAGGCCACCCACCGCTTTTGATTGATCACCAGGTACCTCACTGGCCCACATGGCTGTGGCTCAAAAAACCGGGACCAAAATGGAACCCTGGTAAGTGGACACATGGACCAAAACCTGCGTAGCCCCTCCTGTTTAATTTTGAGCCACACCCACCTATGAATGAACTGTCTGAGCTTGGGAACGAGTATTCACTCCGGATTCATCAACCTGGATGCCCTCTTGAATGAACATAAATCCTGGGTGTTCCCCTCTTTCCAACAATGACGGGGCTTGAATAACTACAATCCTCTTGAACAATGTTTTGTTCCGCTCCCATGATTGTTAAAAACGAGTGTGTCGTGTGTAACATGCGCAGCGGAAGCGTCAACCTCGCTATTGGACATGATGCACGCCGTTGGACTTGTGTGACACGCCCTTCTTGAAGCAGAAGCGGTTGTTGGCCAGCGAGACCACCATGTAGTCTGGGAACAAAGCACCATGCAACGCGTCTGGATGAGTTACGATTCGCCAACTGAAGCAAGGAATGGCCCCCTCAAGAAAGGATCCCTTTCTCACGGGATGATTTGTGCGGTTGTGTTTTCGTCTGCCCAGGGCAATGCCGTAACCAATTCATTCTAGCACAGGGGCCAAACCTGCCACTGTGCTGCTCTCCCGCCTCCGGTGTCAAATAGGGGCTTTAAACGAAAGCATCCAACAGGCAAAGAACTTTACACATTTAACCCTGCCTGAGCTCATCAGAAGGCTCCGCTGGACCCGTGTGGGCACGTGAGTGGACGTCGGCTCGTTCTTGGAGCGGATGTCGTCCCAGAGCTCAATGAGATGCCTCCAAGGCTTCCGAGCCATGAGCTGCAGGTGACTTTTACAGGGCTCCGTGTATGTCCTTGTCGCTGGGGGCAAGTTGTGTTCAAAGGAGATCCATGACTTGCAAAAACGTAAATCATAAGGTATAAACAATGCAAAATTAGATTTGAATGATTGGGAGACCCATTTATAGTTGAATGATTGGGAGACCCATTTATAGTTGTTAGGAGTTCATGGAGGTTCCAGAAGTACAGAACTCTTGTTTTGTTGTTTGTGGAGAACATTTCCCGAGCGACGGGATATGAGGAAGAAAGTGATGATTGGAGGTGAGCGGATTTCCTTTCACTCGTCTACCCTTCCCTACCTATCACTCGCCAATGCGGGACAGACCAAAGACAAGAGATGGATGATGGGCTTCTCTCTTGCTATCAAGGGTAAGCCCACCTTCCTCCATCACCAACTCAAACCATTGGTGACCAGCCATGAAACCTTTGATTAAGACATGCGATTGATGGTAGGAAAGGTTCACCATCCCAGACGTGGGAAAGGGATGAGGGAAGCCAAAGGATTTGCGACTTTGAGGGTGTAACTAGACTCCGAAGTTGGCAGCAAGACTCTTGAAGCATGATGATTCACCAACGAATGGACCCCCTAAGAGAGGAACCTTTCGGGCGAATTCGGCCGACCCAAACCTTTGTTGCGATGTAATGTGCTCAGACTTCCCGCCAGCGGGTGAGGTTGATTCTCCATTTGTTGCACCGTTCATTCTATTTTCGACAACCTGACGTTTCCCCTCGTTGCGTGGTGCCTTTCTGGACAAACTGTTTCCCTTGGAGAGAAATTCCAAACTACTGCCCTGCCTCCTTTGTGGATTTTATGTCCAGACCCACCCAGTTCGCACAGTGACACTCTGCAATCGCAATGGGCAAAGACTCACCAAGGTTCGGAATGCCTTCGTAATCCCAGGCCGTGGCCATCGCAATAAGAATCAGGGCCCCTCTCTTTTGTGGCGGTTGATTTTCAAAAGAACCCCATGAAAAAGGAAGGAATAAATTGAAGGAAGCAACCCACTCTGAGCTGTCCTCAGATCCCCCGCAAGCTACTGGAGGTTTGGGAAACGAGCACCGCAGGGCTCAAACGCGCCCACCTGAAGAGGGCAGAGTGCTCGGACGCATTGCACGGCACCTCCACCACCTGCCATCGCACTGGCAGGTGGCCCAGGTTGCTTGTGGACACCCATGGTGGGGCACCCATTTCAGCTTTGCCCCCTCCAAAAAAGAGTTATTTTAGGCTATTGCCCATCCATGACAAACGCTTCAAATGCAACATCATGGTAAAAGCGTTCCCTGGCAAGATTGAAAGGGTGCCACTGGAGCCGCATATGCTTTTTTGGGCTGTTTTTAGAGGAAGGAGAAAAGAGCACCCGGGAAGTCCTTTTGCCCAGGATGTATATCTTGAGAAGAGCCTGGGGGTGGGTTCAAAATTGAGAGCTCGGTGGAAAAGCAACAGAGACGAGGAGTCCGGATACAGACTCCCCAAGGCCTTCCTTCACGGGTCCCAAACCTGACTCTGCAAGGCCGGAAAAATTGCTCGGCAACACGTTGGAACTCACAAGTCGCTGCACATCCGGCTTGTAGAAACTCCACCCATACAACCGCCAACGTCCAGAGCTTGTCGCCAAATAGGCCGCCACAGGCCGCCACATGAGCAGTCAGGCGGCGTGCTTGAAGGCCGGCCAACCCCCAATCTCCCCCTTCACGCCACGCCCTTGCCCTCCGCGCTGCAACCCTGGCCTCTGAGGGCTCGCGCCGGTCCGGGCGCTTTCCGGACCTCCCGACTTTCATGTCTTCGTGCTGCCAGTCCGGCGGGATCATTGGGTGCCTGACGAGGCCAGAACGAGGCTAAAAGAGCTGATCCGGAAGGGGATGCCTTGCCTGCAAGGGAAAGGAAAGCCCAACTCAAATTTCAAGGAGGGACCAAACAACCTCTGCTGGTCAGCGGTTGGATGGGCCAGCGAGAGGGCTCATAATGCGTTCTGGCTCGATGTCCATGTTGTCAAGCTGGTGAGTAAAAATATCACACCCGTTTTGCCATACCTGTGAGCCTTCATTGAGTCCCCATGGCTGCGCAACTGTGGTTGCCCCAGCGCGGGCCCAAAGAGAGAATGGGGTCTGGAAGATGCCCCAAAAGCGCACACAGGAAGTGAGAAAAGTGAAAAGTAGCCCTGCGATTGGGTAGGAAGAGCCAAGAGAAGGCACCTGGTCCCAACACAACTGAGGGGCCCTCAGCGAACGGGGCACAAAGCCCTCCAATACCCATTAGGGTTGTGGGAATTGACCACTTCTGCGTACCAATTGAAGAGCCTCCCAATGACTTGACTACTTCTTGACCTGACAGGGAAGGCTCCCTGGTATCCCAAAAGTGGGGGGGAAACATCCCCTCATTCTCACAGCGCAACTCTTCTGGCGTCCCCTCCAAGGCTTCCTTTTTGGTGGAGCCGCGTCACTATGCAGGGGAACCGATGCAAACGGGCGGCCGTGCCTGAACAAGGGCGTGCCTTCCGGGACGCAGGACGCCAGGCTTTCGAGCAGCTGCTGCGCAGGCGGGGCAGCTGACCAGGTGGGCAGAAGGGGCCGGTTCTTGCCGAACCTGAGTGAGCCAGGCGACTCCACTGTTTCAACACAATCAGGTGCATGGTAATGACCCTTTCTAACTTATTACTTGTTACTACAGGTGGTTCCCCAAAAAATCCGGCCCTCCGTGTGTGCTTGAAGAAAATGGATGCGCCCCTTTCCGCTATACCACAGCGAGATTCCCACAAGGGGGCTGTTCCAAGGCGCTTTGTGCTGAACAGCACGCGGAAGCAGCGATTCCGAGTGTACCTCAGGCAACGCACGGCAAGGAAGCTGAGTTTCCAGGGTGGGGTTAGATTTGAGCTGACACGGGACAATTGCGTTTGTTTGTGTGCGTGTTTTGTTAACATAAAGCAAGAAGCGCACCCAGGATCCTTCATGGAGCACTCTCCCTACAATGCCGTTTCTGCGTCCAAAGCCAAGTCGGTGTCCAAAAGGTGCTGTTAGACTCCAAGAACCGAATCAACACAACTTTAAGAGAGCTTTGTGGGCGAGCTCCCTTCCTCGATTGAGCTTGCTGTGCATTGGACAACACTGCAATCACTGCAATGGTTGTTGCGACACAACAACCCAATGCAAAAAGTCACTTGCGCCGGAAAAAGCCGCGAGAAGCCTTCACATACCGTTCCCCCCAAATTACACCAGCATAGACCCCGGATAGCGAAAAGCATGCCGACGATCGTACGCCAGCACCTCCAACAGCACCTCCCGAAGAGCGCCCCAAATAGCAACCGGCCGTCAATCTCGCAAAAATGCACCCGCCCTCCAAACAGCACCCCCAAGCACCCCATCACCAAACACCACCCCAAACAGCATCCCAAAACACCACCACAACCACCACAACAAACTTCATGCCCCCCTTGCACCCTACCGTCAATCTTGCAAAAACGCGCCCACACCGTCACCCGGCATGCCCGCTAGCACCCAGCCGTCAATCTCACCAGCACCTCCAACAGCGCCCCAACAGCACCCCAAACAGCACCCCAAACAGCACCCCAAACAGCACCCCAAACCGCACCTACACCAGCATTCCAAACTGCACGCCCCCTAGCACCAGCCCGTCAGTCTCGCAAATCGCTTTCCCTCTGTATTAGAAGTTAGAATTCCTATAGCTTTCAGCTATCTGGGGATAGACTAGTTGGGAGTGATGAGCCTAATTCTGGCCAAGTTGACCAACATAAGCCTTAGCCCTTGACAAGGGAGTGCTTTGGGTAGGCCCGTTTACACGCAGGTCCCTGGCCCCTATTTTGCCAAAGCCTTTGCAGAAGCAACACCGCACGTGCGCCCAAACCAATCCTCTCTTAGAATCCTGCAAGCTGAGAGGGCTTTGAAAGACTGTCCTCTTGAAAAGCGCCCCGCCCTCTTGGAAAGGCGGGAAGTGTGGCTGCTTCAGAATCTGAAGTCGATCAAGGCTCACAGACTCGTCCACAATGGATGCCTCCGGCTCCGGCTCGGGCTTTTCGGCACCCTTCCTTGGAACACGCGACTTCGCAACATGGCGCGCACCCGTGAATGACCCTGGAAGAACAAACACACCCTTTTTGGGTCAACATGATTAACCACTTTCGGGCAACCCACCAAACGAGGGAAAAGGGTGCCACCAAATCAGAGAATTGAGGTGGCCTGTAAGGCAAGGGGACACAAAGGTCAGGCAAGCGGATTCCTTCCTATCCAGCGGCTAGAAGCTTCTGCCAAACATAGAGGCCCACGAAATCCCAGGAACGCCTTTCTTCCAGCCAAAGGGTTTGCTAACATTGAGCTTTGCCAGCGCATGGTGTTGCTCGCCAAGGGTCGCGGAGGCTTTGGGCTTCGTCCGCGCAAAGAGCAGGGAGGCGGAGGTGTCGCCTGCCTGAGCCGCACGCAACGGCTCAATGAACCAATCTGGATGTAAGGCGAAAGCCGCGAAAGCTTTGAAAGGAAACGTGAGGGGCCAAAGGCCACCTCTCAACAGCTGGCACCCTTCCAGCATGGAACCCGAGCGCTTGCAAAACGTGGATGTCAAAAATCCCCTGGTCAAAAGACCTGCCACCATGGGTCGTCAGCGGGCAAGCTTTGGGTGAATTGGCAGTATGGGACCGTCCGGATGTTGGCAAGCAGGCATCAGCTTCAAGCTGTCTCCAAACTACCTTTTTGCTTCTTTCAGGCTACACGCGAGCCAATTTCTGACCGAAAAGGATGGCAGCAAAGAGCACGGATATCAAGTGGCGCCATGCTTGTCCGATGCATTGAAAACAAGTCATGTACCAAAACGCCACGTGGCTTGGCAAAACCTTGGGACGCCAACCCCTGAAAGGTCCAATGTCAGGCAGTCAGTGTGGCATGCTGAGAAGCTTGAACCGTCCTTGCCATTGATCTAGTGAGCCATGCGCATGCACATGTCTAGATCTCTGACACGTCTCAAAAGGGAGCCCATGACGCTCGCAGCCTGCCGTTGCTCCCGCACAAAGTCCATGAACCGTCGAATGAAGAAACCCGCCTGGAAAGGCCATCGCGACCGGCGTCCTTCCCAACCGATGGGAGGAAAAGAACCAAAATGAACCAAAATGGTTGAGCAAGAGGCACGAGGGAACTGAGTCGACGCTCGGCAGTGTGCGCACACGTTTTTGCAGGTTTCTCCGTTGCCTCCCTTCAACGCCAGCTAGAAAGGAGCTCTCTTTGAAGGAAGCGGCTTCCACACTGCCAGTCTTCCCCCAAGGCTATTTGGGCACGTCTCAAGATCGGCGGGATGCCAAAAACATGTGGTCTCCTCTTTGTCCGCGGAAAGCCGCGAACAGGGAGCATCCACAGATTTGTCACATGCCGTCTTGTTGTCAAATGGGCTTCAGAAGCTTGACCGCTCCCCAGACATTTGGCGAGGCGTTCTCTTGGCCTGA